AATGCTCCGCTGAAAGGGCAGATGGGTGTACTTTGCAAGGCAAATGCCCCCCCCCCCCCCCCCCCGCCGCAGGCACCTCGGTGGCGGCGGCTCACCTGATGTACCCCGCGAGCCGCGCCCTCACCCCCTCCCTGGCCGACGCCGGGCTGGCCGTCCTCAACGCTGCGCCACGCGAGTCCGGTACGTGAGGATGTCGCGACTCGCCGCCGCTGCGCCGCCTTCTAATCCGCGCGCGTGTGTCAGTGCCCGTCCCTCAGGTCTTCCTGGCGTCCCTTCCGCCCGTCGCCGCCCAGATCCCCGTCTCCGCCGTGCAGCTGCACCCGGTGAGAAGACCAAATGCAAATGCCGCCGGGGGGTTTTCTCCTTGCACGTCCCCGCAAATCAAAAGAAGCTTCTGAACCAACGCGGCAGCGGGCCTTTGTGTGTGTGCGCAGATGATGTTGAGCCAGCAGAACGGCGGAGGCGGGGCTACCCTGACGGAGCTTCAGCTCGTCAGTCTGGACGCGCCGCAGGCCGACTGACTGACGCTCGACAAGTTTTTGTTTGCTGCTCCGTCGCCAAGCAAAAGCAGCCGTCCCGTCTTTCTTATTTGTGTGCGTGGCTGCCGTTGACACTCGACTGCTCTCCTTCCGGACACTCGCCATTTTTTTTTTTTTTTTACTTTGTTGAAATATTCTTCGCCCCCCTCTGAGCGTTCAACATGTTTCAACTGATTAAAATGTACTTTTTTTTTTTTTTCCCTCCACGCGTCGTGTCACTTCCTCTCGCGCTCACACCCGACTTCCTGTTTCGCAACAACTCGACTCGTGAGCGTTCTGTTTTGCTGTCAACTTCTGAGTCCGATTAAAAAAAAAAACATATAAAAAAAAAAAAAAAAAAAAAAAAAAACAACCGCCGTGCCGTGATTCCAAAACGCGACAACGAGTTCATCTTTGCGTGACTCTTTTGGCGGGAGGGAGGGCAGGGTAGAGTTCGAGAGGTCAAGGTAAGTAATGCAGCGTACGTTGGAAGACTTTTTTTTTTTTTCTGTTTGCTTTTTTTGAACTGGAAGATACGATTACGATTGCGTGACTGTCTCTGTTTTATGTGTACGTGTTGTGTTACATCATCGTATTGTTATTTTATATAAAGTGTTGTGGAAAGCGCTTTTTTAGAGGTGCGGCTGTTGTGAACGCGCGATTATAAATGAAGATGGACGAAGAAGAAGAAGAAGGGGGCGGGGCGGCCATCGTCATTTCCGGCGGCGCTTCACGACTGCGTCATCGTCGCGGCGACACGCGCTCCTTCTTTCTTTTTCCGTTCCGCTGTTCGTAGCTAGCGGCTAGCGTGGCGGCGCCTCTTTTCTGTCTTTTCGCTTCAATTCGAGTCAAGAAATGGCCGCCGCCGGTGTTCCGAGTCGGAAGCGGCTCCTCAAGGACGAGGACATGACAAAGGTGGAGTTTGAAACCAGCGAGGAGGTGGACGTCACCCCCACCTTCGACACCATGGGCCTTCGGGAGGACCTGCTGCGCGGCATCTACGCTTACGGTAGGCCGGAGATCGGCGAGGCCTCCGTGGAGCTCGAGCGCTCACGCCGCCGTCGCCGCAAGCTCCCATTCGCCCCTTTTGTAACGCCCGCCCGGTGAGCGTCGGACTCACATTCGCCGCCGCCGCCGCAGAGGCACTTTGTCGGCTTGAGGTTGCGCGGCAAGCTCGCCGTTAGCTCGATTAGCCGCTAAGCGCTCGCTGCTTAAATTTTTTTGCGCCCCCCCCCCAAAAAAAAAAAAAAATGGTGGCCCCAATTAGAATCGCGTCTCCAAGCAAACCAAACAACATTTCCACCGCGTCGACGACAATGGTTGTGGGTCGCGTGTGAAGGCCACTTTGTTCATGAGTCTCCATCTTCTTCTGATTGTGATTATTTGCTTGGAATGCCGTCAGAATTAAGCGACCACATTTTCAAGATTGAAAAAGGAAGTCCTTGCTCTGAATGCCCGTGACCCGTTCTGAAGAAAAAGTTCTCCAGAGATCTGCCCCCCCC